AAGTAAAGAATAAGTAAAAAATAAAGAATACATAAAATAGAGATTTGATAAAGTAAAGAATAAGTAAAAAAGAAAAAGAATGAGGGTAAGAGATCAACTGAAGAGCGCAAGGACATAGGGGAATGAAAATCAGGATTATGCAAGGGAGCGAGTGAATCAAAAGTGAATAAAGTAAAGAATAAATAAAACAGTGAATAAAGTAAAGAATAGATAAAATAAAGAGAGAATAAAGTAAAGAATAGATAAAATAAAGAGAGAATAAAGTAAAGAATAGATAAAATAAAGAGAGAATAAAGTAAAGAATAGATAAAATAAAGAGAGAATAAAGTAAAGAATAAATAAAAAAAGAGAGAGAATAACAGAAATACAGAAAGAAAGAGAGAGAGACTGAGAGCGGCGGGACAAGGAACATGGCTAGAATGTGAAGGGCGTCCACATGACTTCAATGGCGGTAAACATTATGATTTTGAGAAGATCACAGTATTCATTTAATTATGAATTCCACTGAAAAGCGTATGCGATGCCATTTACACTAGACTGCAGAAAATCTACGGCTATTCTCTGCCAGTTGATTAAAATTCATGTAACTGGACCGTAAGTGACTCAGGCATCTCACAAACGGGAAAAAATGTGAATAAAATAAAAAATCAAATCTCAATAAAATCTCATCTTCAAAATAATAAGTTCTCACCCAGTCACAATTTATCTTTCGTAGGAACAAATGAATGTCATCTTTTACCCAACAAAAAATAAAACGAATGAGTACAAACACGGAGAAATTAAATGGAATTGAGAGAGAATAAGTAAAAAAGAAAAAGAATGAGGGTAAGAGATCAACTGAAGAGCGCAAGGACATAGGGGAATGAAAATCAGGATTATGCAAGGGAGCGAGTGAATCAAAAGTGAATAAAGTAAAGAATAGATAAAATAAAGAGAGAAAAAAAGTAAAGAATAAATAAAACAGTGAATAAAGTAAAGAATAAGTAAAAAATAAAGAGAGAATAAAGTAAAGAATAAATAAAACAGAGTGAATAATGTAACGAATAAACAAAACAGAGTGAATGAAGTAAAGAATAAGTAAAAAATAAAGAATACATAAAATAGAGATTTGATAAAGTAAAGAATAAATAAAAAAAGAGAGAATAAAAGTAAAGAATAAATAAAACAGTGAATAAAGTAAAGAATAAATAAAACAGTGAATAAAGTAAAGAATAAATAAAACAGTGAATAAAGTAAAGAATAAATAAAACAGTGAATAAAGTAAAGAATAGATAAAATAAAGAGAGAAAAAAAGTAAAGAATAAATAAAACAGTGAATAAAGTAAAGAATAAGTAAAAAATAAAGAATACATAAAATAGAGATTTGATAAAGTAAAGAATAAATAAAACAGTGAATAAAGTAAAGAATAAATAAAACAGTGAATAAAGTAAAGAATAAGTAAAAAAGAAAAAGAATGAGGGTAAGAGATCAACTGAAGAGCGCAAGGACATAGGGGAATGAAAATCAGGATTATGCAAGGGAGCGAGTGAATCAAAAGTGAATAAAGTAAAGAATAGATAAAATAAAGAGAGAAAAAAAGTAAAGAATAAATAAAACAGTGAATAAAGTAAAGAATAAGTAAAAAATAAAGAGAGAATAAAGTAAAGAATAAATAAAACAGAGTGAATAATGTAACGAATAAACAAAACAGAGTGAATGAAGTAAAGAATAAGTAAAAAATAAAGAATACATAAAATAGAGATTTGATAAAGTAAAGAATAAATAAAAAAAGAGAGAGAATACAATCAAACATAAAATAAATAGAGAATGAATAAAGTAAAATGAATAAACAATAAATCAATAAAATAAAGATAAAATCAAATAAACCAGAAGCAACTAGATACGTGAGTAAAAGTGAGGAAACCAGGATGAGTTCATAAGCCAAGATCAGTTGGTGAATAAACCGAAATTAATAAGTGGGTAAATCAACATGGGTGAGTAAGCCAAGATGGATGAGTCAACCAATACAAGCAAATAAGCCAATGTGAGTGAGTTGACCGATATGAATAAACAACAAAGCCAGTATGAGTGAGTAAACCTGTGGGAGTAAATCGATGTGAGCAAGCGAGTAAAATGATATGATCAGGTGAGTAATATGAGGAAGGAAATAGTCCTATATGAGTAAACTGATATGAGCAAGTGAGTAAAATTATATGAGTAAGGAAATAAACCTATGTGAGTAAATCGATATGAACAAGTGAGTAAAACAATATGAAAAAGGAAGTAAACCAATATGAATTAGTGAGTGAACCAATATAAGTGAGTAAACCTGATATGAGCAGGTGAGTAAACCACTTTGGGTGAGTTAACCGATATGAATAAGCAACTAAGCAAGTATGAGAGACTAAACCTATGTGAGTAAATCGATATAAGTAAATGAGTAAAACAATATGAAAAAGGAAGTAAACCAATATGAATTAGTGAGTGAACCAATATAAGTGAGTAAACCTGATATGAGCAGGTGAGTAAACCACTTTGGGTGAGTTAACCGATATGAATAAGCAACTAAGCAAGTATGAGAGACTAAACCTATGTGAGTAAATCGATATGAACAAGTGAGTAAAACAATATGAAAAAGGAAGTAAACCAATATGAATTAGTGAGTGAACCAATATAAGTGAGTAAACCTGATATGAGCAGGTGAGTAAACCACTTTGGGTGAGTTAACCGATATGAATAAACAACAAAGCCAGTATGAGTGAGTAAACCTGTGGGAGTAAATCGATGTGAGCAAGCGAGTAAAATGATATGATCAGGTGAGTAATATGAGGAAGGAAATAGTCCTATATGAGTAAACTGATATGAGCAAGTGAGTAAAATTATATGAGTAAGGAAATAAACCTATGTGAGTAAATCGATATGAACAAGTGAGTAAAACAATATGAAAAAGGAAGTAAACCAATATGAATTAGTGAGTGAACCAATATAAGTGAGTAAACCTGTGGGAGTAAATCGATGTGAGCAAGCGAGTAAAATGATATGATCAGGTGAGTAATATGAGGAAGGAAATAGTCCTATATGAGTAAACTGATATGAGCAAGTGAGTAAAATTATATGAGTAAGGAAATAAACCTATGTGAGTAAATCGATATGAACAAGTGAGTAAAACAATATGAAAAAGGAAGTAAACCAATATGAATTAGTGAGTGAACCAATATAAGTGAGTAAACCTGATATGAGCAGGTGAGTAAACCACTTTGGGTGAGTTAACCGATATGAATAAGCAACTAAGCAAGTATGAGAGACTAAACCTATGTGAGTAAATCGATATGAACAAGTGAGTAAAACAATATGAAAAAGGAAGTAAACCAATATGAATTAGTGAGTGAACCAATATAAGTGAGTAAACCTGATATGAGCAGGTGAGTAAACCACTTTGGGTGAGTTAACCGATATGAATAAGCAACTAAGCAAGTATGAGAGACTAAACCTATGTGAGTAAATCGATATGAACAAGTGAGTAAAACAATATGAAAAAGGAAGTAAACCAATATGAATTAGTGAGTGAACCAATATAAGTGAGTAAACCTGATATGAGCAGGTGAGTAAACCACTTTGGGTGAGTTAACCGATATGAATAAGCAACTAAGCAAGTATGAGAGACTAAACCTATGTGAGTAAATCGATATGAACAAGTGAGTAAAACAATATGAAAAAGGAAGTAAACCAATATGAATTAGTGAGTGAACCAATATAAGTGAGTAAACCTGATATGAGCAGGTGAGTAAACCACTTTGGGTGAGTTAACCGATATGAATAAGCAACTAAGCAAGTATGAGAGACTAAACCTATGTGAGTAAATCGATATGAACAAGTGAGTAAAACAATATGAAAAAGGAAGTAAACCAATATGAATTAGTGAGTGAACCAATATAAGTGAGTAAACCTGATATGAGCAGGTGAGTAAACCACTTTGGGTGAGTTAACCGATATGAATAAGCAACTAAGCAAGTATGAGAGACTAAACCTATGTGAGTAAATCGATATGAACAAGTGAGTAAAACAATATGAAAAAGGAAGTAAACCAATATGAATTAGTGAGTGAACCAATATAAGTGAGTAAACCTGATATGAGCAGGTGAGTAAACCACTTTGGGTGAGTTAACCGATATGAATAAGCAACTAAGCAAGTATGAGAGACTAAACCTATGAGCAAATCGATATAAGCAAATGAGTAAAACAATATGAAAAAGGAAGTAAACCAATATGAATTAGTGAGTGAACCAATATAAGTGAGTAAACCTGATATGAGCAGGTGAGTAAACCACTTTGGGTGAGTTAACCGATATGAATAAGCAACTAAGCAAGTATGAGAGACTAAACCTATGTGAGTAAATCGATATGAACAAGTGAGTAAACAATATGAAAAAGGAAGTAAACCAATATGAATTAGTGAGTGAACCAATATAAGTGAGTAAACCTGATATGAGCAGGTGAGTAAACCACTTTGGGTGAGTTAACCGATATGAATAAGCAACTAAGCAAGTATGAGAGACTAAACCTAGTGAGTAAATCGATATGAACAAGTGAGTAAAACAATATGAAAAAGGAAGTAACCAATATGAATTAGTGAGTGAACCAATATAAGTGAGTAAACCTGATATGAGCAGGTGAGTAAACCACTTTGGGTGAGTTAACCGATATGAATAAGCAACTAAGCAAGTATGAGAGACTAAACCTATGTGAGTAAATCGATATGAACAAGTGAGTAAAACAATATGAAAAAGGAAGTAAACCAATATGAATTAGTGAGTGAACCAATATAAGTGAGTAAACCTGATATGAGCAGGTGAGTAAACCACTTTGGGTGAGTTAACCGATATGAATAAGCAACTAAGCAAGTATGAGAGACTAAACCTATGTGAGTAAATCGATATGAACAAGTGAGTAAAACAATATGAAAAAGGAAGTAAACCAATATGAATTAGTGAGTGAACCAATATAAGTGAGTAAACCTGATATGAGCAGGTGAGTAAACCACTTTGGGTGAGTTAACCGATATGAATAAGCAACTAAGCAAGTATGAGAGACTAAACCTATGTGAGTAAATCGATATGAACAAGTGAGTAAAACAATATGAAAAAGGAAGTAAACCAATATGAATTAGTGAGTGAACCAATATAAGTATGCTTAACGTACCACAGAGCTTCACTCTCAGCTTATATGGCATATTCTGAATTATCATTTTCTAACAAAAAGAAAATTCTCGCCTTGAAAGACTTCAGAGTCTCTATTTATGATGTTGCTCTGAGGTAAGCTCGTTAAAAGAACGAAAGAAAGAAAAATCTTTGACACTTTATAGAACCCATGACATTTTTTGGCTCCAAGGTTGTGGAAGTTGCCTGTGACTCGGTCCAAAGACTGTCTTTAACCATTTCGTCTCTGACTCGTTCTGTTGACACATTTCAAAGTAAACACTCAACTATAACTAATATCTGTATGTTAAAAGACGCTCTGAGAACAATCTATTGTGATAATGAAACAAAAATCAATATTTCAATGAACCGCAATTATATAATGTGTATAATATTGTACATCTAATATTTGTTCATGTTTACAAGGAACCCGCTCAGTTTGTTGTCAGTTTGTGAAGGCGCGCAACGTCACGTGTCTTTATCGGAGACGAAACTGCAATTGAACATGGAGGAAATAGTTCAATTAACGCCTGATCATAAATGAGAAAGTGGCATGCAAGTATTCCATGTCAAATGTAAAATCGTATTATTGTTTCTGTCATAGGCAAATTCCTTTCGGGAATACCGTCCTATTTCTGTAAATAGATATTTTACAAACTTTGTTGACCATTTTAAATTTAAATCATGCCCTTATATGAAAATGAAGAATTTCTATGTTTTTCCTTTGTTTATATTTCTCATTTCATGAAAAAAAACAGAACTTTACCTATTTTAGATTAATATGTAGTTCAAAGTTCATGAATCTAGCAAATGTTAAAAGGTTAAAGGTTGTTCTGTTCTGAACGCCTGGCGAAGCTTCGTCTGGCAGTCACCCGCCCTTTCCCTAAACTTCAGGGGCATCAACTCTCTGCTGACGTAATCTTCTGATTTGCAGGGTCTCGGGCTTATTCTGTGCTGTGTCCTGGCGGTGGTGTCAGCCAATGACAAGGGAAATCAACAGGGAGACAAGAGATTCCTTCAAGGAGGAGTTGCCGGAGGTTTTCATGGCGGAGTCCCTGGGGGAGTTTCCGGAGGCTTTCCTGGCGGTTTCCCAGGAGGGCAAGTAGGCGGTTTCCCTGGCGGTTTCCCCGGAGGGCAAGTAGGCGGTTTCCCTGGCGGTTTCCCCGGAGGGCAAGTAGGCGGTTTCCCTGGCAGTTTCCCCGGAGGACAAGTAGGCGGTTTCCCTGGAGGGCAACCAGGCGGCTTCCCTGGCGGTTTCCCTAGCGCTACGGCCCCACCCGCCACCTGTAGGCGCTGGTGCCGAACTCCAGAACGGCAAGCTTACTGCTGCGAAACGGCGTTTGAACCTGAGGCGCCCGTGGGCACCAAGCCGCTTAACTGCCCACAAGTCCGTCCCACCTGCCCACCAGTACGTTTCGGTGTACAAGCACCTGTAACTTGCTCCAGCGACTACAAGTGCGGCGGTGTTGACAAGTGCTGCTACGACAGGTGCCTGCAGGAACACGTATGCAAGCCACCTTCCTTCTATAACCAATTCGGTTGATAAGGAAAATTCAACATACTTATTGATTCATGTAGTGCCCATGATTAATAAATGATTTTCTAAAATCTTGATTTCATTTAATGTCCAGACTCACTCATCATGATGGTCTCAATCCCCTATCTTGGCTTACCATTCACTCGACCTGATTTACTCTCTCATTTGCTTTGGTTTACTCATCTTTCCTGTCATTATTCTTGATTACTTGATGTGAATTGATCTAGTATTTTCTTGTAATTTTACCTAATCCCTTTTATTTATTTACTTATCTTGGAACCATTACCGCAAATGATATGAATGTTATACTAGGGCCATTATTTTGGCAATGATTGGAGTTAACCATCGATTTCTATTCATATATGATGTAAACATTTATAAAAATAATAATACAAGTAAAAAATGCAGACATTACTATGGTTAATAACATCTTATTCTTTGGAAACAAATAAAACCATTTATGTCACAATCCTCCCCCAATACATTTTTCAGTGTATATGGAGGAGACAAGTATATACGTCAATGGTCCACTACATGTGCGGCCATTAATGGCTCTTGGCATCCCTCACAACATGCTTTACTCTTAGCCAACATTGCGTCTTGTGTCAGTCTTGTGTGCCTGCTTCTCAGCCTTGTTAACATAACTACTTGTCGGATGGGATGGACATTAGAGATGACCTTGGCAGTTAGATGACCAATCTCTCGCAGTTTGCTTCTGGAGGTATGCCTTACATTGTTCCCTCCATTTATCGAGAAGACAACTGAAACTGGTTGACTAATTATTCAAA